CTTTTTCAGAAAGATTGGTTATATCGGTCTCCCCTGGCCCTCTCTCTGGCATTTGAGTGATTTTGGAGTGGACCAGGTTCTTCTGCCTTTTCATGACGATAGAAGTGATCCCCAGTGAGTGGCACATTTGTCAGCTGGGAGAACAAAGTCCCTTCCTGCTTGCTGGTCATCTTGCCCTTCTCCACTGCATGTGCCAGTGAACCACACAAAGGCAGCAGTCTCTGGGTTAATCCCTGAGCTGCTGTGGGCAAGGCAGTCCTCGGAATAGCCTAGAGCACTGCTGGGGGTCACTGGTGCGCAGCGTGTGTTCTCCTGCAAGAACGGCACCCCTTTGTGCCTTCTGGACTCTGTGCTGGCTCCCTCTGCCTGTGCTGGGCAGCTGTGTGCAGTGGGCAGTCTCTGGGTCTGGCCTGGTTAGCTGCACACTGGGAGAAGACTCTGTGTGGTTGCTCTGGGCGGGGCTGCTCCCCAGCTGGTCCACAGGAATGGCAGGTCAGCTGGTTTGCTTGTAGTGCGGGTGGGGCATAATGAACGGCAGGCTGCTTATCACCATGAGGCACCTCGGAGGTGTGTTACCATCCAAGGCGTTAGGGTGCCTGACGTTCCTTAAAATTCCCAGCCTGCTGGGCTGAATGTGCCAGGACGATTTTGTCCACCTGTTGAGACTTTTAAACCCTTGTCCCTTTGATACTTTTAAAGCGCCTGCTTTTCTTTTGTCACAGGGCAGCCAGTTGTGGGGACCTGCTCGCAGTCTTAGTCTTGGATTTTACTTTTCCATTTCTCTAATATCTGGTACACCATGCAGTGTGTGTCTGTGCTCCCAGTGTAGATTACTAGGGCCATTTATTTAGCAGTCCTGTGCTTCCACTCCCTCCCCACTTTGTCTACTTTCCTCCCGCCGCTGAGCTGGAGTCGGGGAATGCTTGGGTCCCATTGGGTCACGGCTTTATATCTTACCCTTTTCATGAGATGCTGAGTTCTCACAGATGTAGATGTAGCCTGGCTGTTGTACTGTATCTTCTGGTCTCTCTTTTAGGAATAGTTGGATTTGTTGTATTTTCAAGCTATGTATGGTTTTGGGAGGAGATTTCTGCCACCCTACTCACGCTGCCATCTTGAGCATCTCCATGTGTTTGGTTTTATGTATTTTTAATTTTTCTTCAAAATTAAATTTGCCAAAAGATACACTCTTACAATATACTTTTGCCACTTCTTTTAAAAAATATTCATTGAAGATACTCTTACAATATACTTTTGCAACTTCTTTTAGAAAGTATTCATTGACAGTGTGCTGACTGCTGTGACAAATGCTTCAAAATGCAGATCCGTTGCTGGGTCTGATGTCCCCCCCTCTCTCTGTAGTTTGTATGTGTGTTTTAAAAGCTTCAATCATATGATACATATTGCCAAATAACAACTAGCCACATTTATACATCTGTGCATAGTAGGTGTATCCAAATAAAACCTTAATGACACAGATGAACAGAAGTGTGCCTTTCTTTTTAAAATCAGTATTTTTCTGAGTGAATAATTAGGTAAATTAAGTTGCTGAGAAGAATATGCAAGTAATAGGAAATAGCACAGTAAAGATAATCATGTATATTGTAGCTGTATGGCAGGTACAATGCAGGTGTTTTTAAAGACAGTATGAATGTTAGTGCTTCATTTACATTATGGACCAATTGCCTTATGAACTTCAAAGTAACACATTACACTTGTTATTCCCTCATGGACATGTCTGGAGAAGGCTTTTGACATGGAGACCAATCAGCCTTCAACACGTGTGTGAACAGGACTTCCCAGCTGTCCCTATAAAGAATGTAACAGAGCCCTGTTCTGACGCTCTCCTTCTGATGCCCTAAATGGCATGTATACACAGAACCCTTGCCAGTTAATTTGATGTTGGCAGAAAACTGGATGAGAAGAGTTTTGATCAATCTCTTCCTCTGTTTCTTATCGAGAGTCTGCTCTAGGTTTGAACCTAGTAAGGAAGCAGTTGGCACCAGGTGGTTGATGAAGATGCTGGGCTCAGGAAACTATGATATTTTTTTCTCGGCAGACTCCTGGGAGTGACAGATTTTTAGCACATGCACTGATTTATGAAATGTGTTTGGCTCTGTGTAAATACACTCGGAAAATCGTTTGCACACCACGCTTCAGGCTCAGTTCACATTAACAGATGCTGTTACTTTCAGCGGGCATCATATTAGGAGCAAGGAGTCCAAAATTAGTAAGACAGAGTTCCTGTTCTCAAGGATATTCCAGTCTACTCATAAATCCTAATGTCTTATGATACATGGTGTGGTGTTGAACAGAGATGATTTACTTCTGAGGGACTTGAAGATGACTTCAGGGAGGAGGGGGTGCCTGAGTACAGTTTTGAAGGGTCAATAAGAGTTTGCAAACATTTATTATATACATTATACTACAGCAAAGGACTTCTAGAATTTTTCAGTCATAAGTATGGATACATTACTGTTAAGACTAACATGCTATTTAAAGCTTGGTTTTCTTAATAGTAGAATGAGCATTGAGAAAAGAATAGAACAGTCAGTGAAATATCCCACATTGCTTTCAGAGAGTTCCTGGATTTATCTAGTTGAAAGTGTCTTCAGTATAAGGCACAGAAATAGTAGTATCACTTAAAGAGTCCTGTCTGTACTGGGCAGGTCATAGACAGCATGTCACTTAATCTCACAAGTAAGCCAGCCAACTATTAAGATCTCCATTTCACAGATGAGATGACATGGGTCATGGAAACTGAGTAACTTGCTCAAAGGCATACATTTTCCAAGTGGAGAACCAGGTCTCTCTCCAACCCAGAGCTATCTGGTGTCCAAGTCCTGTGTTTTTCCCACTACATTAGATTTTGATATATTTGAGTTGTTGCTGATCGGCTTAGTGAGCACTTAGTTATTATGCATTCTCATGACTTTCAGGCAGCTTCTGCAGTGCTCAGTGTGTGTCTCTTTTCTCGAGCTCCCCTCAGTAGCACTTTTTATTGTGGTGCAGTGGGATGATGTGTGAGAGTCCCATGACTGCTGTAATGATTTACCACAAACCTGGTGGTCTCAAACACACCCATTTATTATCCTACATTCCTGGAGGTCAGAAAGCTGAAATGCATCTCACGGGGCTGAACTCAGGATGTCAGCAGTGCTGTGTTTCTCTTTGGAGGCTCTTGTAGCAGATCTGTTTCCTTATCTTTCCCACCTTATGGAGGCACCTGCAGTTCTTGGCACGTGGTCCTTCCATCTTCAAAGCCAGCAGTGACTGGTTGAGTCCTTCCATTGCATCACACTGACCTCTCTGCCTCTTCTTCCCTCTTCCACATTCAAGGACCCAGCAGTCACCCTGCGCTTCCTGCATAATCCTGATCCTCTCCCCATTTTAATGTCAGCTGATTGGCCACCTCAATTCTACCAGCTTAATTTCCTCCTGTACTGTTTTCATAGTTTCCAGGAATTAGGAATGGATGTCTTTGGGGATCTTTATTCAGCCTATCTCAGACCTCCCTGTGGTCCCCAAAGATCCCTATCTGTCTCACATGCTAAAACACCTCACCCATTCTCAGCATTCCCCAGAAGTCTAAACTCATTGCAGAAAGTGACTCTTGCACTGAGTGTGGTTTTCTATGTATTGTTGAAAAAGATTGCACCCATCCATAGTAAGAAGTGTAAACAAGATAAAATGTTATAGAGCAAGATCTGTAGACTTGAGGTCCCTTCTCTCCGGGTACCCACAGCCAGGTGTTTGGTGTATCCTTTCCCAGATGTGTGTACATCGAAATGTATGTTCATCGTTTTTATACACACATCCTGTGTTAACCAACATGAACTGGATATTCTCCCTTAGATTTCGTCAGTCTTTCTATGAGTGTGTATGTGTATATATATACACACACACATCCACATAACCCATATTACCCACGTGCCTCTTTGGAAAAAACAGGCCAGTCTTCACCAGTGTTCTTTTGAGGTGTTTCTCATCTTTTCTCTTTCCTGGCAGCCTTGCTGTGCCCCATCTGTGCTATTGCAATTCTTCCTACTAGCGGCTGAATCCTTGGCAATGAAGTTCCACGGTGACAGCCACCTAGCCAGAGAGAAGAAAGAATCTGCTCATTTGCATGACAGAAATGATTCTAAGGCAAATGATAGGAAAGCTCAGTAGTACCTTTTTGCTTAAACATCGAATCTCAGTAGAGATGGCTTGTTCGAGAAACTTCAGCATGAACTCAAGTTAGAGCTGGTCTCTGTAGTGGTTTGCTGGCCATCATCTCTTGAAATTTCTAGATGACCTTTGAAGGTCCTTTCGGGGAGTTGTTTTTGATCTGAGCATCATTTAATTTGATCTGTGCAAACTTGATGCCTGCACGTCTGTGCTCGTGGACTGTCCCCCAGTTAAACCTTCCATCCATACAGAGCTCTGTGTTCAAAATAAATATGCTTCTGTGGCAAATCCTGTCACCCTTTACACATGCAGCCTCTCAAATATTTTTGGTTCCCACTATAGTTACACCATCCACGATTTATGCTTCTGTTGTCCTGCAGGCTCCTTGGTCACACGGTCTGTGTCTCTTTCATCTTCCTTAATTCCTTGCTGGCCTGGTGCCTGTTACAATGACCCCCAGCAGGACTAAATCTGAAGTGCTCTTTTTCTGTCATCAGCCCTGCTACTTCCAGGTTAGCCCCCTTCCTAGGGATGATAAGCTTGGCTTTGATAGGTGGTGGCCAGCAGTATTTTTCATTTGTTAAAATTTAAAGCAAATTGATTTAAAATAGTCCTGACAACAACGGTTGGCCTCTCTCCCATGATTAATCCCCACATCATGTCTGTAATAGTGATGCCTATTCTGTATTCAGGAGAGTCGGATACAATTAAACAACAAAACATGGTCCCTATGTTCTGGGAACTTCGGTTTTTAATATCAGCTCTGGGACAGGTTGGCAAGGGTGTTTCCAGAGCAGAACTGTGCTTCGTTAACTGTCATAATTTTTCAGGTCATGGAATTCCTTTTGGGATCATCTTTGGTGGAACTGACTTAAATGAAGATGTTAACCAAGGGGAAAAAATCGAAGTGATGGGGAAAGTCCTTGAAGAAGCCAGGTAAGATGAGCATTTCACAGAAGTTAAACATTTAACCCCTTTGGGTGGAATTCACTGAAACAAAAGGACTTAGGAAACCAGTAGTGTGGGAACCTTACTTCTGACCACGTAAAGCCAATTTCTTCTGTTTTATTTCATTTGTGTTTTCATTTGGCACATTTTTATGTTTCCACTAATAGTCATTGGAAAGTTATTGCACTTGAGTAATTCTGCGATTACAGTTAATGTTGGAGGAACATCGTTAGAATGTTCTGCATGGTAGGAAAGACAGAATTGTTGCTCTCTAAGGGATAATAATACATATAAACTCTGGTTTTATTAGCACACAGATTAGGATCCATTTTGTATCAAGTTTGCCCAAATAGGATGTTTCTGACATGGCTGTTATCTACGCAGACTTCTGAGCTATATACAAACCATTTGGGAAAGGGGTCACTAACTGTATTTCTCCGTGGGCATTTGGGGCAGGACACTTGATCATTGTGGGGTGCTGTCACATATCCCAACCCTGGACACTACACATCAAAGCACCCGCCAGGTGCTGCAGCAGTCAACACACCTCCACACATTCTACCCCTGGGATGGGGCTGGTTCCGCTCCCGGTTGAGAACCCAGAGCTGTGCCTCCCCACCTTTTACATAGTGAGGCATATTGAGAAAATGATAATATTTGTACAGCATTCTGGAGTGCCCTGGAAGGCTAGGTGGGAAAAGTAAAGCACCCCATTTCTCTGTATGACAAATACAGTGATAATAATTAACACAATAATAACATTCTACCAATCCTCTGTGTTCACTTAGAAATTGTGGAAAAAGAGCTAGTGAAATCCAAGGAAACCCAGATGTACATGCATACCTGAAGCAGTGGAGGCTTCTGGTCCTTGGCAGGCCTTCTGGGTGATTCCGTGGGAAGCTGAGATGGGTGCTGTGCAGCCAGTCACTCCCACAGGCCCACCAGCTGTGATGGGACAGAGGCCATCTCACTTGCCGATGGAATTGCTGTGAATTCAAGGTCTACTGAGAGTTCAGTAAGACTAGTAAAGCATCCTTTCAACTTTTGTAAACTTTTGAATCATTGTAAGAGCAGAGTAAAACAGAACAGATGATCAGATGATAGTTTTTTGATGTGGATAGCTTGCTGTACTAATTCTGTTTTTAAAAAAGCACTTTACTGAGGTATGGTCCACAGACAAAATGTTGTACATAATTGATGTATACAACTTGATGAGTTTGGAGATAAACACACATCCATGAAACCACCACCGCAATCAATGACATAAACATATCCATCATTTCCAAAGTTTCTTCCTGCTGTCTTTCTTCTTCTCCTTCTCCTTCTCCTTCTCCTTCTCCTTGTCCTTGTCCTTGTCCTTCTCCTTCTCCTTCTTCTTCTGATAAGAACACTTAATGTAAAATCTCCCTTCTTAGCAAATCTTTCAGTGTGCATTGCAGTGTTGTTAATCATAGGCTCTATGATGTATGGGAAATCTCTAGGACCTATCCCTCTTGTTCAGCTGAAACCTTGTGCCGCTGGACTCGTGTCTCCTCACTGACCCCTCCCCTCAGCCCCTGATACCTACCATCCTACTCCCTGCTCCTGTGAGTTTGATGACTTTAGATGCACATATCAGTGGAATCATATGTCACTTGTCCTTCCATGTCTGGCTTACTTCACTGAGCGTAACATCCTTCAGTTTCATCCACGTTGTTGCAAATGGCAGAATTTTCTCCCTTTTCAGCCTCCCGTAATGTATGTGCGCCCTCTGTTTTCTTTAGCCATTTGTCTGTCGATGGACATTTAGTTTGCTTCTATGTCCCCATTAAATGGCCAACCATGAAATTCCTGTGGCTCATCTATAACCCTCTCATGGCTGTAAAGCTGCAGTCAGGGAATCAGAACTCTTCAAGTTTTTAGGTCACTGGGTCATTCCTGATCCAGATGCAGGACATGCTCCAGCTGTGCCTTTTGTTCAGCCTAAGGCTGCACCCCCCTTTTTTGTAAGGTAGGGGTCAGTCTTGCTCCTGAAAACTAGGGTCCCAGGGGATGTCACTGCATTTCAGGGCCCTTCTTCCTCTTCCTGAGGACTTCTGGACATAAATGTGGCAGTGCAGTCTTTTTAAAGTAGAGCATGCACTCTGTATTAAAACGAGCATGCTTCGTTTTAATAAACGAAGGTATTAAAACAGACTGGGCTTACCTTGAAAGTTGATCCATCATTATAGGTTTTCCTGATGTTGTTCTGTACTTTAAAAATGTATTACCCTTGAATTCATGCAGTTTGTAATGTACTGTCTTATAGAAAGAAAATAATTCTGCTTGGTAGAAACAATATTGAGTGAATGCATCTTATAGTATTATCATTAGCATTATTCATTTCATTGTTATTAAAACACACATTGATTTTTATTGGGGGGCTATTGATTGAAGTTAGTGGGCAGTAAAGTTGCATGAATCATAGATTTCTTGTCTGACATAGTACGGCACACTTTTCTGTAAAACGAAGTATTGAACTTGTCCAGCTTTGTAATGAGTTTCATTTTTAATCAAATACTTTTATATAGTTACATTTTTCCTGTCAGGTGTATTTTTGAACTTTTTTAGATTTTAAAACTTTTTTCCTTATTGGTATAGTATTTGAACTTATTTTAGTATCAGCTTTTTGGCTTGTTTTATAACATAATAGGTATTTATAACTATAAATGCCAAAATTAAATGAGTATTTGAAATGTACAGAAACTGATGTGCGAAGGATCGTGCAGCTACATATTAGAAAAACTTAATATTACCAAGGAAAGGGACAAAAGAAAGTTTGTGTGAGATAAATTGCCTCAGAAATATTTTCACTATCAGGAAATACAGCGCATTACAGATAAAACAATGGGAAGTAGCCACTTGGTAGGTCAAAAATGGTTGAATATCGGTTATTTCATATGGTTTTTGAGCTGCAGAATTACTACAGATATTTTTGACAAACAGAATCACATGTCAACTTGAGTAAATACTTTTGAAAGGGCAATATTCAACCCAAAGTGTGAACACAGTAGTTTTATATTTTTCATAAGAAATGCGGTATTTTAAATTTCTTAATTTTCCTAGGATGTTTGGGTTAGAAACTCCCTTAAAGGTTATCTGTTAGGTGGATGTAAAACCAGGGGCAGTAGTTCTATAGTGATGAGATGCAAGAAAGAATGCATCATATGCTCTTCTGGAACAAATGATGTGCGTTTGACAGAAATGACAGCATTGACTCAGGTTCACCTCTCTGCCCCTGAAATGTAGGCACTTGTGCCACTGATGAAACCCTTCCTAGGTTCTCATTCTTCCTTGCTGTCTTAGAGCCTGACCACGCTGTGGCTTCTGTCATCCCAAGTGAACAGGGCATGGCTTCATGGGTGGGGGACAGTCACAGCCAGCTCCTTTGTCCCCGTCCTCCCTCCTGCACCTGACCTGCTTGCCAATCCTTGGAGTGAACTTCCCCCCCAAAGTTGTTCTGGGCTTGCACCTGTTCATTTACCTGTAAACATTGTTATATGGTAAAAGGCACGGGCTTTGTGTCTTTGGCCTTACTACCTGCTCAGTGGCTTCCCCATTTCTGGTCTTGCTGCTTCTTTTCTGAACATTTGAGGCTGTCCCACTGTCCGTTCACTGGCCATGTCAGGTGCCCCAGCATCTTGCAGAAGCCATAGCAGTGTCAGTACTCGCAGGAAAGACCACAGAAAATACTGACTGGTTGTTAATAACTAGGGACCGGGAACTGAAGCTAGCAAGCTACAGCATTGTTACTTGGTTGTTTGATTTCCAGGTGTTTCACTTTTGCAGCTTCCCTCATAGTCCAGCTTGTCTGTATCTCTTGTCATCATTCTGGAGGCAAGGATCGCATCTCATAACCTATGCCAGCAGCCCACCTCTGATGGATTTGGGCCTTAATCTGCGTCAGCATGCATGGTGTGGGTGGTGCAAGTCCATGAAACCTGTTGCTCCTTGCCCACCTTTACGACACCTGGGAGTGGGGTTCCTTATTCCCCCTTAAGCAGGGGACATGCCACTGACCTTGTCTGGGACTGGCAGGGGGAGGGAGCAGGGAGAGGAAGGGATGGTGTGGCGAAGACAAGGCTGGGCACCTGGAGCTCTCCGACAAGAGCCCGCCCTTCAGGGCTGTGCCTCTGGGGACAAGCTGCGACAGTCGTCACTGTGGTGTTCGCCTTCTGGTGGCTTTTGCCACTACCTCTACACTTATTAACTGGAATTCTGCTATCAGGAGGGGCTGCCCCTTTCACCCCATTTACTTATTCAGTTAATTATGTCAACATAGATTTGTGGATATTTATTAACTTTACTCTCTGGGTTCTCCATCACTATTATTATTTATTTGGGTGTTCAAATCACTCCAGCTATGGCCACTGGAGATGCTTTGATTTGGCTCATGTGTCCTTTCAGCACGTCCTGGCCATTTTCTGACCTTGTTACTTTCTGGAGCCATAAGAGGTTCCTGGTTCAGCCCATGTGCACCTGGCCCTATGTGTGGAACGGCCATTTCTCAGCAGATGTACACAGTAGCATCCATTATCCATGTACTTCCAGTAAGTCTTGGATGCGTTGGCCATTCCCTGGGGAAACTGTGGAGCGCCCTTGGGTACCAGAGTGGATTGACTGAGTGCCTGGCTTCTCTCGGACGTCTTGCTTTCTGGCTTTGCCTCTGATTCGCATGGAAAGAGCAAGCAAAATAGAAGTGTGGGGCTTCATTTGTTCCGTCTTGCGTACACATCTTTTTTGAATGTGAGTGGAGATGAAACCTAATGGCAATGACCACGAGTAATAAAGATTGATTGCACTTTAAATTCAGCTTCTTACCTTGCCTCTCATAATTTGTTCCAGAGAGCTGCCTCATAGTTATGTTAATTGAATTCTGCCCTAATTGAGTTCATTGTTTTTGCTCACTTTACTAGGTTCGCTGTCGCTTTCACGGAGTCAATGAAGGAGATGGCGCAAATGCAGTGGGTAGGTGTTTATTTTGTTATGCTTTTGCCTGTGCTAGTGACAGTGCAGGGGCAGAGAACTGCAAAGCGGCTTTATTAGACTTGACACCGCTCCCATCCGTGCGCCCTGCACTAGCCACAAAAGTGTATTATGTTTCCCATATATTGCTGTATTTTTATGTGTGAAGATCCTCTTAAAACTTCACTGATTTTTTTTATGTTGTTATTGAATAGCAAAAGTAGCTCAAGAGCCAAATCTCTTAATGTTCCATCTATTTCCTTTTTATGTGCTGAGATTGGGTGATTTACAGGCTGCACTAGAAACATTGCAATCACCTCACCTACACAAAGAGTAACAAGCTTGGAGGTGGTGGATGTAGTGTCCTAGATTGGGCTGTTTATTTGAAGAGCTTTAATGTGTAGAGAGAACTCTAGCACTACAAGTTAATTCACTTATTGACATTTTTATTCATTATGACTCAAGGGCAGGTGAAATGAGCTGGTGGGCCTCTGAGTCTTGGTGGGGAGTTAGGCAAAGGCCTGGTGGAGCTGGTGCCTGCAAAGTGAAAGAAAAAGCAAGCACAAAGGTCACTTTCCTCTGGTGGACGGTGCATGAAGCTCCTCCTGCAGCGATGGGCGCTATGGCGAGCCTGGGTCACCAATGGGGTTGGTCCCTGAGCTTTGCCAGCTCATCCCCTGTACCCAGAACTCACGCCCTCATCATTTGGAGGCTTTGTGCTGTGTATGGTAGCTTAGAAGCTCTGCACATTCTTTATAGAACTTCAGTTTGTAAAACTGAGCACTTGAAACTGCTGTCTTGGGACAGGGAAAATGCAATCTTCTGTGGGACTGGTGGTCCTTTGCAAAGCTTAGAACGCTGTATATATATCAATGTGAAGACCGAGTAGGCCAGAGGCTGCATGCTCTTCACATCAGGCACTTCCAAGGCAGAGGACTGGAGTTGCATTTCATCTGCAACATAGCAAATTGTAAATCTTAGATTTAAAAAACCACAAGCTTCCCACCTTCTTAAGGTTGTCATCTAAATCAGTGGTTCTCAAAGTGGTGACACTCTGAGGCCTCCGCAAAGTCAAACCTATTTTCATGATGATGCTAAGACAGTTTTTGCCTTTCTCACCATTTGAAAAGCAGTGATGAACAAAACTGCTGGCCTCTTAGCACTAATGAAGACAGTGGTACCATGGGGCACTCGTGTCATTGATTGTTCACTGCCGTCCACTTGAAAGGTTAAAAAAAATCACTTAGGAGTCTCCTTGATGAAACAATAAAAGTTCTTAATTTCATTAAATGTGAACCTTTGAACATGTTTTGTTAGTGTTCTGTGTGATGAAACAGGAAGCATACTTCATGAATGAAGCATGATCTTGAGAAAAGGCCCTCGTATAATCAGTTGGAAACTGAACTAGACACTGTTTAACACGATTTTTTTTGTCTGAAAGAACGACTGGGAGACAGACGATGGTTATTTGGAGTATGGCATTTGGCGAACACTTTCTCAAAAATGAGTGAATTGAGCCCGTCACTTCAAGAAAAACAACTGGCTGTATTTGTCGCCAATTATAACATTTAAATTGTCGAGCAAAATCAGAATTTTGGAAAGGCATCATGAAGTTCACAGCTTCCCATATGTCAAGAGACTTTCCTGATGAGATCAGTGGTCATGTTAACAAATGTGTGTGTATGTGTGTGTGTGATTTTTTTTTATGTTGTATAATGAAATCTTTCAACATTTATAGCATCTTTATCACTCAGTGAACCCAGGTTTTTTCAAATAACTAATATATGGCATCATAGAAGGATACATTTGTAAACGATCCATTCAAAGTGCCAGATTAGATCCATGGACTTTGATGCAACAGCGTATATGGTTTCAGGTTTCATATTGCAAATAACCTTTAAGAAATTACCATTTGTTGAGTTTTTGGTGTAGTATCCAAGAATAATACAATAATGTTCTGGAAAAGCTATTAAAATACAGCTCTTCTCTCCAACCACCTATCAATAAGACACATTTTTAAGGATTTTCATTATATACCTCAGCCAAAACAACATACGGAAACAAATTGAATGTAGCACCAGATTTTTTGACAAACAGAATCACATGTCAACTTGAGTAAATACTTTTGAAAGGGCAATATTCAACCCAAAGTGTGAACACAGTAGTTTTATATTTTTCATAAGAAATGCGGTATTTTAAATTTCTTAATTTTCCTAGGATGTTTGGGTTAGAAACTCTCTTAAAGGTTATCTGTTAGGTGGATGTAAAACCAGGGGCAGTAGTTCTATAGTGATGAGATGCAAGAAAGAATGCATCATATGCTCTTCTGGAACAAATGATGTGCGTTTGACAGAAATGACAGCATTGACTCAGGTTCACCTCTCTGCCCCTGAAATGTAGGCACTTGTGCCACTGATGAAACCCTTCCTAGGTTCTCATTCTTCCTTGCTGTCTTAGAGCCTGACCACGCTGTGGCTTCTGTCATCCCAAGTGAACAGGGCATGGCTTCATGGGTGGGGGACAGTCACAGCCAGCTCCTTTGTCCCCGTCCTCCCTCCTGCACCTGACCTGCTTGCCAATCCTTGGAGTGAACTTCCCCCCCAAAGTTGTTCTGGGCTTGCACCTGTTCATTTACCTGTAAACATTGTTATATGGTAAAAGGCACGGGCTTTGTGTCTTTGGCCTTACTACCTGCTCAGTGGCTTCCCCATTTCTGGTCTTGCTGCTTCTTTTCTGAACATTTGAGGCTGTCCCACTGTCCGTTCACTGGCCATGTCAGGTGCCCCAGCATCTTGCAGAAGCCATAGCAGTGTCAGTACTCGCAGGAAAGACCACAGAAAATACTGACTGGTTGTTAATAACTAGGGACCGGGAACTGAAGCTAGCAAGCTACAGCATTGTTACTTGGTTGTTTGATTTCCAGGTGTTTCACTTTTGCAGCTTCCCTCATAGTCCAGCTTGTCTGTATCTCTTGTCATCCTTCTGGAGGCAAGGATCGCATCTCATAACCTATGCCAGCAGCCCACCTCTGATGGATTTGGGCCTTAATCTGCGTCAGCATGCATGGTGTGGGTGGTGCAAGTCCATGAAACCTGTTGCTCCTTGCCCACCTTTACGACACCTGGGAGTGGGGTTCCTTATTCCCCCTTAAGCAGGGGACATGCCACTGACCTTGTCTGGGACTGGCAGGGGGAGGGAGCAGGGAGAGGATGGGATGGTGTGGCGAAGACAAGGCTGGGCACCTGGAGCTCTCCGACAAGAGCCCGCCCTTCAGGGCTGTGCCTCTGGGGACTAGCTGCGACAGTCGTCACTGTGGTGTTCGCCTTCTGGTGGCTTTTGCCACTACCTCTACACTTATTAACTGGAATTCTGCTATCAGGAGGGGCTGCCCCTTTCACCCCATTTACTTATTCAGTTAATTATGTCAACATAGATTTGTGGATATTTATTAACTTTACTCTCTGGGTTCTCCATCACTATTATTATTTATTTGGGTGTTCAAATCACTCCAGCTATGGCCACTGGAGATGCTTTGATTTGGCTCATGTGTCCTTTCAGCACGTCCTGGCCATTTTCTGACCTTGTTACTTTCTGGAGCCATAAGAGGTTCCTGGTTCAGCCCATGTGCACCTGGCCCTATGTGTGGAACGGCCATTTCTCAGCAGATGTACACAGTAGCATCCATTATCCATGTACTTCCAGTAAGTCTTGGATGCGTTGGCCATTCCCTGGGGAAACTGTGGAGCGCCCTTGGGTACCAGAGTGGATTGACTGAGTGCCTGGCTTCTCTCGAACGTCTTGCTTTCTGGCTTTGCCTCTGATTCGCATGGAAAGAGCAAGCAAAATAGAAGTGTGGGGCTTCATTTGTTCCGTCTTGCGTACACATCTTTTTTGAATGTGAGTGGAGATGAAACCTAATGGCAATGACCACGAGTAATAAAGATTGATTGCACTTTAAATTCAGCTTCTTACCTTGCCTCTCATAATTTGTTCCAGAGAGCTGCCTCATAGTTATGTTAATTGAATTCTGCCCTAATTGAGTTCATTGTTTTTGCTCACTTTACTAGGTTCGCTGTCGCTTTCACGGAGTCAATGAAGGAGATGGCGCAAATGCAGTGGGTAGGTGTTTATTTTGTTATGCTTTTGCCTGTGCTAGTGACAGTGCAGGGGCAGAGAACTGCAAAGCGGCTTTATTAGACTTGACACCGCTCCCATCCATGCGCCCTGCACTAGCCACAAAAGTGTATTATGTTTCCCATATATTGCTGTATTTTTATGTGTGAAGATCCTCTTAAAACTTCACTGATTTTTTTTATGTTGTTATTGAATAGCAAAAGTAGCTCAAGAGCCAAATCTCTTAATGTTCCATCTATTTCCTTTTTATGTGCTGAGATTGGGTGATTTACAGGCTGCACTAGAAACATTGCAATCACCTCACCTACACAAAGAGTAACAAGCTTGGAGGTGGTGGATGTAGTGTCCTAGATTGGGCTGTTTATTTGAAGAGCTTTAATGTGTAGAGAGAACTCTAGCACTACAAGTTAATTCACTTATTGACATTTTTATTCATTATGACTCAAGGGCAGGTGAAATGAGCTGGTGGGCCTCTGAGTCTTGGTGGGGAGTTAGGCAAAGGCCTGGTGGAGCTGGTGCCTGCAAAGTGAAAGAAAAAGCAAGCACAAAGGTCACTTTCCTCTGGTGGACGGTGCATGAAGCTCCTCCTGCAGCGATGGGCGCTATGGCGAGCCTGGGTCACCAATGGGGTTGGTCCCTGAGCTTTGCCAGCTCATCCCCTGTACCCAGAACTCACGCCCTCATCATTTGGAGGCTTTGTGCTGTGTATGGTAGCTTAGAAGCTCTGCACATTCTTTATAGAACTTCAGTTTGTAAAACTGAGCACTTGAAACTGCTGTCTTGGGACAGGGAAAATGCCATCTTCTGTGGGACTGGTGGTCCTTTGCAAAGCTCAGAACGCTGTATATATATCAATGTGAAGACCGAGTAGGCCAGAGGCTGCATGCTCTTCACATCAGGCACTTCCAAGGCAGAGGACTGGAGTTGCATTTCATCTGCAACATAGCAAATTGTAAATCTTAGATTTAAAAAACCACAAGCTTCCCACCTTCTTAAGGTTGTCATCTAAATCAGTGGTTCTCAAAGTGGTGACACTCTGAGGCCTCCGCAAAGTCAAACCTATTTTCATGATGATGCTAAGACAGTTTTTGCCTTTCTCACCATTTGAAAAGCAGTGATGAACAAAACTGCTGGCCTCTTAGCACTAATGAAGACAGTGGTACCATGGGGCACTCGTGTCATTGATTGTTCACTGCCGTCCACTTGAAAGGTTAAAAAAAATCACTTAGGAGTCTCCTTGATGAAACAATAAAAGTTCTCAATTTCATTAAATGTGAACCTTTGAACATGTTTTGTTAGTGTTCTGTGTGATGAAACAGGAAGCATACTTCATGAATGAAGCATGATCTTGAGAAAAGGCCCTCGTATAATCAGTTGGAAACTGAACTAGACACTGTTTAACACGATTTTTTTTGTCTGAAAGAACGACTGGGAGACAGACGATGGTTATTTGGAGTATGGCATTTGGCGAACACTTTCTCAAAAATGAGTGAATTGAGCCCGTCACTTCAAGAAAAACAACTGGCTGTATTTGTCGCCAATTATAACATTTAAATTGTCGAGCAAAATCAGAATTTTGGAAAGGCATCATGAAGTTCACAGCTTCCCATATGTCAAGAGACTTTCCTGATGAGATCAGTGGTCATGTTAACAAATGTGTGTGTATGTGTGTGTGTGATTTTTTTTTATGTTGTATAATGAAATCTTTCAACATTTATAGCATCTTTATCACTCAGTGAACCCAGGTTTTTTCAAATAACTAATATATGGCATCATAGAAGGATACATTTGTAAACGATCCATTCAAAGTGCCAGATTAGATCCATGGACTTTGATGCAACAGCGTATATGGTTTCAGGTTTCATATTGCAAATAACCTTTAAGAAATTACCATTTGTTGAGTTTTTGGTGTAGTATCCAAGAATAATACAATAATGTTCTGGAAAAGCTATTAAAATACAGCTCTTCTCTCCAACCACCTATCAATAAGACACATTTTTAAGGATTTTCATTATATACCTCAGCCAAAACAACATACGGAAACAAATTGAATGTAGCACCAGATGTGGAAATCCAGCTGTCTTCTGCTAAACCAGATGTGGAAGAAAGCTTTTACCTGTGGAAACATATTCCTTCTCCATGGATTTATTCCCTTATCTCTAACTTCTCCTTTTTAAATGTCACCTTTGTCTGTAAATCCTTTGACCCTCCAAAATTAGTACAGGTGTGTTCCTTTGCTGTATCAGTTACTTTTTTGCTACATAACAAATCACAGCAAATGTAATGCCTTAAAACAAACATCATTTATTTATTCTTTGTGTTGCCTGGGCATTTCTGGCTGGGGTCAGTGGGGCCAGACTGGGTGGTCTTGCTACGGTGCCTGGGTGCCCAGCTGGGATGGGTCCGCTGGGATGGCGGGGACTGGCTTTCCAGGGAGCCTGGTGTCCCTTATTAGGCTCAGGGCAGGAGTGCCAGGTGCCGTGCACAAGGGCTCCTCAGGCCCCTGCTTAGTGCAAGCTTTGTACCAGTCCTTCGGCCAAAGCAAGTCAGGGCCTAGAGGTACCATACCTGCCTCATAACTGGAGGGCCTTTACGGTGGCCTTGCAAGAGCGGGGATGCCAGGAGAGGCTGTTAAACCCACTGTAATATCTGCTGCCCTCCGTGCTCATCCCTAATGATTTTAACACCTCTCTCCTTAACGTTTCTCCCCATGTGGTTGTGAGCTACTTGAGGACAGGGACAATCTATTGTTCACTAGTGTGTTCCCAGAGGGTAACACACTAACTCATAGTCAACACACATTTGTCTAATTGAAATTACCAGAGGGGATGAATCCTTCTTTAGAGCTTTTTATTATAGAAATTTCCAAGCATGGGCAAGTGAAGCAAAAAGAGTGGAAGGAACCCCTGTGTGCCCACCACCTGGCTTATAATTCTTCCCTTCTTATTTAATCTACCTTCATTCTCCTCAATCTGATACACACACACACACACACACACACACACACACAC